AAGTAGCAAGATTAGCTGCTTTAGTAAACGATGGGCGTGGTAAACGTTACGCCGCTCGTGCAGTGGGAGTCCATGAAGCAACTGCTCGTAGAGCAATCCGCAAGTACGAACAAACAGGAAGCACTGCTCGGAAGGTGGGTTCTGGTCATCCTAGAAAAACGTCTCGAAGAGATGATCGTTTCTTGAGATTGCGGATTTTACGGAATCGATCAAACACTGCGGTAAATGTTCAGCAAGATCTTCGCCAAATTCGTGGTGTTGCAATAAGTAAGCAGACGGTATGTAGACGTCTAAAAGAAGTTAATTTAAAAGCTAGGAGACCTGCAAAAGGTCCTAAATTATTGCCCGAACATCGTGCTGCTAGAAGAAATTTTGTTCAAAATTATGGAGAATGGAATATTCCTGAATGGTCGAATGTCTTGTTTACGGACGAGTCAAGGTTTTGCCTTAACATGGTGGATGGAAGAAAAAGAGTGTGAAGAAGGACTGGTGAAAGGTTTAATCAGAATTTAATAACAGAACGCGAAAGTTTTAATGGTGGGTTGGTTATGGTGTGGGGAGGGATGTCAATGAATGGAAAGACACCCCTTCATGTTTTTCCGGTGAGGCGGTCGATGACGGCCCAAATTTACATTGACATTATACAACAGTATATCTTACCTCATGCAGAGTTAGTGGGCAATAATTTTATATTGATGCAGGATAATGCCCGACCACACACCGCAGTAATAGTGCGAAACTTCTTAGAAGCTACGGGTATCACCACATTACAGTGGCCTGCGAGAAGCCCCGATATGAACCCTATCGAACATTTGTGGGATGAATTAGGGAGAAGGGTACGTTCTCGCGAGAGGCCTCAGGAATGCCTCGCAGAAATAGCAGATGCGTTAGTGAACGAATGGAATCGTATACCAATGGAAACGATAAGAAACCTGATTTCCAGTATGTCGCTTAGATTAGAAACTCTTAGAGTTGCTAGGGGAGGCAATACACGGTATTAAGCAGTTATCCCAGTTTATAATTTAGTGTTTAATAAAACTTTTTTAAAAATTCGTATCAGTTTATTTCACTAGAAAACTGTTTTTCCATAAATTCAGAAAGTTGGAAATATGCAAGGTTTCAACAAAAAAGATTCAATTCGGACAATTTTAGAGATAAATTAATGAATAAAAAAACAAAATGCTCATAAAAGAAACGTGTTTCATATAGGGTGAAGCACTTTTTATACCATTACTTGATTAATACACAGGGTGAGTCAAAAATTAGGAAAAAAATATGGTTCCAGTTTTTCCACTACCATCCAGGAGTCATTGAAAAAATTTCCACCTTTTTAATTTTTTTTGAAGACAAAGGATTTGGCTACCAAAAAATAAAAAAATAATAAAGTTTTGATTTTCTGTTCTTTATTACAACTCCGCGCACTAACTCCTATCAACATTCGCCATTGCTGCGCTCTGCTCGCTCTGCTGACCGTCTTGCCATTGATATATTTGAGTACGATTCCTTAATCTCCTTTAAATGAGCGACCCTTGCTGCTGTTGGGAACATGCCGTATATAGATTAATTTATATAGATTGATTTATACTTACAATTAGTTCTTGTCCTTTCACGTGCTGATTGTTAGATACCTCGGTTCTTTTCTTTTTTTTTTCTGTTATTTTTGTTAAATTACTTATGCAATTTGAGATACTGATTTAAGTTTTTTTGTGTCGTTTTTTTCTTTCTTATTGTATTTTTTTAGTGGCATAGCTTGAATTGGGTTTGTCCTGTGCTGTGTCCCGTGAGCTTAAATAAATAAATAAAAATCGGCCCACTGGTTTAAAAAATATAAGATATTAAAATTAGGTCAAAAATCAAGTGCGTCACTTTTTTTGGAACTGAGTGTATAAGTTATGTGTCATCATATCTAAGAAGAACTATGAATCATCCTAGAATCCCCAGAAACTTCCATAAAAAGCCCTTATTCAGCATAAATCTTTTGAAAATAGTATAAAAGGCCATGAAAATCTTCATAATTAATTCATTTCACTCGACGTCGTTATAGTGTTAGTTTGAACTTTGTAATTAATTCTAAAATAAAAATAACTTAATTTTTGAAGAGTTTTTAAAACTAAAACTTCTAACTTCAAAAACAAAAGTTATATATTGATTGAGTTCGCACATATTAAAAAAACTCTTGTAGGTTTCAAGTTGTGAGCCTGGAGGAAAATAGATCCTCATTATTGAAAGTGATCATGACACAGCTACCTAATAAAAGATACCGACGAGTCAGACAACGACGCACAGTGTTCACAAGCGGTAAAATGTGAACAAAAATCACGAGATTCGAAGTTTCCTGAAGATGGTTTTGTAAATAAACCGAAACCGGTAGAATTTAAAACAGTGAATCCATTTTTAATTAAAGTATAGACAGAAAAAAGTATTTTACTTTATCTAATTCCCTGAGTGTCAAAAACTGATTTAGGAAAGCTTGTTGAACTGTG